CCTATCAGCCACTCCTGAGACAACAGTAGCACCACTATCCTGGACACTACTCCTCAGCAAGGAATAAGCTCGTTGCCATGACGGATGGCAGGTTCTTTTCCATAATGCTGGCGCAAGATCCCAAGCAGGTTTCTGTCAGATGCTGCGCAATCTTCTTGCACATCGCCCAATTTCAGATGTTCTTCACGAGAGTATGGGCCCGGCTCTCGAGGCTTGACCAGATAGCCTTTCCATCTTCACGAACATTTTTTGATTGCTCCTGCCCAAAATCAAAGAACTGTAAAACCTAAAGTTGACACTCTGAACCAATATGCCCAATGCCTAAATCTTGAACGTACGTCGTACATCTCACAGCAGATAGATACCCTAAACCTGCATGTGACCGCGGAGGCCTGCCTGATCATGCATTACTGAACGCAGGATTTCAACAATCGGCTGCATCTTCATTGGTAGGTGAAAGATGAAACTCCCTTGCACTCCTGGAGCATGCAAAAACCTACAATCTACAGAATTCATGCCGCTCTGTCCATGATTCGGTTCTGCTGAAGGTTGGTTGGGGGGACCCCCGCGTGCCTAGCTAATCATCATTCTACTCTGCCACAAGCTCGAAAGCCGCAATGTTAAGGGTCCCGCCTACAAGCCCTGAGATTCTGGGAGCGGAACTTCGGCGCGGAGTCCAGCCGTCTGCTCTCTTGCCTGAAGAAGGCTTGGAAGTTACCTTCTGCCAATCTGACACGGGTTCCATCTAGCACCTTTCTTGAACGGACATCTTAATGGGGCCTTGCTGGGGTTTTATGCCTTTTTGGAATGTTGAACTTGGGCTTGAGGGACCGCGAGACAGGAAGCCACAAAACCCAAAGTTCCAGAAGCGTTGAAGCTACCGGTGGCTCGCCCTGACAAAATAAAAGCATGGATTTCTGCAGGCTTTTCTGCTCAGCCTAAACAAAATTGATTTAAGCCCTCCATTACATCTGTAAATTCCCAAACTGCCGCACGCATGATCTTTTCTTTGAGCATCGTGTCTACAACTTTGTGATACTTGCTGATCCCATCCTTGGCGTTTGCCAAGGGGTCCAGGCTTCTGTTTGGATGTTCTGGCGTTTGTTCTTCTATGTCACAGCCAAAACGATGAGTGCCCTTTAACACCCATTTGCTAAACTCTTAACACCTCCACGCTCTCAACCTTTTCTCATAATCATAACCGGCCCCAAAAAGCAGGTTCTCGATGTTGTCTTCGAAGCAGGTGAAGGTTTGTGAGGTCGGGGGGTAACTAGGCCACGACGAGTAGAGTACCGAGTGGTTCGGGGGCACCCCAAAACTACCAGGCATTCGGTTTGTCTGTCACCAACTATGAAAGGATGGTGCTCTCCTCTAATCCCGATATTCCGCATATTAGACCTAGAAATCCAGCTTCCATAGCATGTTTCCAATTGATTGTCCATTTAATTTTTCGTTGAATTTTCCATGTGGCTTTGCACTTGATTCTTCATGATCGTTGCTCGGTTGCGGTTAAAGCGCGCGAATGAAGGGGAGATACTTTTACCCACGCGACAAAAGAAGACCTCTGAATTCAATCTGATCTGTTAGCTACAAGGTCCGCCCATGCGGGGGTTATGCGAGAGAGAAGGGCTTGATCCTAGTTTTGCTTTCAATCAATGCATCTGTTGTGATATGCCAAGGCACCAGCTCAAAGTAGTAAGAGGGTGTTTACACCTACTTGCGACTGAAAAACCGCTTAAATAATTCAAGCCTAGGTTTTTGGCATGACGCAACGCAGGGACCACGTCCCCAGCGATTCCACGCCATGGGCAGACTGCGAGAAAAAGATCCCTGAAACGACGAAGTGCAATGCCAAAGGACATTTGCCAATAAAACCTGCGAATAAAACAAAGTTAGCAGCGAAGTCCGCACACACCACTGCTCGGCTGATGCATTCATCAGTTTTCTTAATGCTCCATTTCCATTTGCAATCACATATGAAATCGCTCATCGTGTTTCGCAGTTGTGCAGACACATAGCAACACCAGAGGCGGATGCTATCGCACTCGTGCGGAATAACAGGAGCACTAAGAACCCACACATTCAAGTGGAATCAAGGTGGGATACTAGGACAGCACACTACTTAGCATATCTTTACTATGGTAGCATAATTCACAGTTGTCAGCTCCCTATAGCCTCGTTGAACATGTATATCTCCGGTTCGCGTCTATTTTTCAGCTTCGTGTCCATTTGATTATCCATGATTTGTAACTTCATTTTGAGATTCCCCTATATAACCCCTATAATCCCTGTAGTTTCCATTATCCCAATATAACCCCAATAGAACTCCAATAAAACCGAAACCTAAAACAGCAGCCCAGATTGACGATGCACCGCTCGACTTGAAGTGGGGGTTTCCCTAAATTAGGGGTACCTTTTTGGGGGTCCCTATAATAAGGGCTATAGTATTTTGGGGTCTATATTGGGGTCCCATTATTTTGGGAAACTACCAAGTCCTATCGCCTCACGGTGCTCGCGTCTCAGCCGCTGTAGCTCAGCGAGCTCCCGCCTCAGGAACCAAACACTGCGGTTTAGGGCATATATTGGGGTTATATTGGGGGTTATATTGGGGTTATATAGGGGTTATATCACAAGCTTGAAGGCACTCGTGCACAGCAGAACGCAGTGCAGCGGGTGCTCGAGAGTCCGAGAGTTCGAAATTGCCGTTGTTCGGCAAAGGTCCTCATCCCCTGTGGGGTCTAGCTAAATCAGCACTGGCTCGAATTGGCCGAGCTGCTGCAAACTGATAAACTACGTTCCTAGCCTCTCCCAACTTGACGGGATCAACCCCAAAAGACAGGCCCCCAATGCGCATAGAGACCCCCAAAAAGGTACCGTCAACATAATCACACATGATCCCCTCAAGTTGGACAACATGTAGAAAGGCACGTGTCACCTGCCTGAGAAGTCGGAGCTTTGTAGCCACTGTCAAGTCCGGAGCTCGAAAAGGAACTTCGTTAGCTGACCTCCACAGCCCAGTTTGCGGATCCCTCGCTGGCTACGAGACGGTTCCCTGGTGCTGTAGCAGAAAAAGCAGTTCCAACCACGAAACAGAGCAAGCCCGATCCGTTTCGGTGTCCAGTGTCAGAATTGCTCGAACCACGGAGAGCGCCAAGTCCAAGGGCCAAGCCTGGCATGTCCCCACCAAAAGCACTTGCCAGTTGACAGGTAAACGGTCCTGGAGCCCCTCGTTGCAAGGAAACCAGTGTACAGGCCATGCGGGTGTATCCTCATCCGCTTCCCACGTTGTTTCAGTCGTCGATGCGGTGCCAATCGTGTCATTCGCAATCCCAAAGTAAATGCCACGCCACAGTCGCAGTGCCGCAGCCGTCTGGATCTGATACGCAGTGGCAGCCGTGTGGAGGTCAACAAAAGTGACCGAGCGGTTCATATTCGTCAGGACTGCAACCCGATCGGCATGATCATTCCAGCATCGGATCCAGTCATCGAAAGGACCTGCAGTCTTCTCGGCATCCAGGTGTGAGGGAACATGGCGTATGTTGAAGGTTCCAACCGGAATCAGCTGAAGGAGCTTAGCAATGCGTCGCCAGAGGTCCGCATTCGCGGGGTCCAATTCCAGTGCGTGCCCATCCAGCAACGCCTGTACTTGGTCAACCACATGCTGGGCATCCGACCAGATCGTGGCCTGGACCTCCATGAAAATGATCCACTGCAACGCTGAAATGCAACTCCGCCCGGGGCGCGGACTGCAGGATGCCATGTACTGGTGCACACGAAACAACAGAACCCGTTGAAGCATTTACCACCCCCCAAGCGGCAACCTCCAAACCCTGAAAGTCCCCCTGAAAACATGAACCATCTGAAAAGAGGTGCTGTCGCTCGCATGTGGCAATGTCCGAAAGGAAAAGGCCTGTCCCTTCAGGGAGCCCGTGCAGATGCTGACGCAACGGCGCCAGATGCGGGGCCAGATGCGGGTTGGCGGGGGGAAGGAGATGGCTGCGCAAGCATTCTGGCGCTGCCTGCCAGGCTGCTGTGAGATCAATCCCTGCTGGTCGGTGTTGGGCATGCCGGGGGCAGTCGCAAACTCGATGAGCGCGAGTATCTCGCACGTTGCAAAGGCTGCACACGCCACTCCTCTGCATATCGTGGACACTATGCTCTGCACCGAACATGTATGCACCTGACTGCAAGGCCCGCGTCCGAGCCTTATCCAATGGACTGAGGCGCACGAAATCTAGCCTCGCCAAAGAGAACTCCAGCCCAACAAGGTCATGCATTGAGACCCTGTGTCTCACACTTTGGCTGAGACGCCAAGACCATGCTCTGACAGTCAGGTTGCGCAGGAGGCTGCGTGGAATTTCTATAAAGTCATGCACAAGGGCCTCATGGTCCGCAAAGAGAGGCGGATTCTGGATCTGCCATGAGAGGCGTGAGAACATGGTCAAGAGCTGCGAAAATGGGCCACGCAGAAGCCGCCCATCGTAGCGGAGCATAAACTGTCGCCACTGATCCAACAGGGCAGGATGCTTCAGGAACATACGCCTGGCATCGCGGAGGCAGCTCCATATTTGATAGAACTCAGGATCAATTTCACAGGGAGTTTCCAATCCCAGTCGGAGCTTGTGGTTCATACCAGCGGAGGTCAGTCGCAAGGCCTTGACCGCCTGGGTGCGGAGGCCATTGATGTGCGATTCTGCCAGCGGGCAACCTGCGATCGCGCGCAGGGCTCGTGCCCAGAACTTGATGGGCAAAGCACCCAACTTCACCGAGAGCGGACTGCAGGAACGGCGAAGCTTGAGAAACAAGGGCCCGAGCGCACGACAGCGCTCGACAACCGCTGCGTTTCGCACCTGACCCTGGAAAGAAATCATGCCCCCAAGCTCACGTGCTTGACTGAGAAGCTGAAAGCCCAGTGGCTTGAGATCACGCCTGGCTGTAGATGTGGAGCCCCAAACGTAAGATTTGGCAAGATCGAGTTCAAGCTGGAGCATGTCGCAAACTCACTGAGCCAAGAAGACCCCTCTCGCGACAAGCGCTGCGGTGGCTGCAGTATGTGCCCAGTTATCCACATATGCGTACGCACTCAGGCGGGGCTCAAACACCAACATATACGTGCGATAAACATACACCGCCACACACATGGCACAGGGGCTGAGTGGATCTCCCTCTGGAAATGACGTGGCCTGGACCCCGTCACTGACACAGTCACGTATAAGAAATCGCCGCTCCAGCTGTTCAAGGAAGGAACCCCAAGGCCGGAGCACAGAGGTCGGTACACCGAGTCTTTCCGCAAGACGTAAAATTGGTGCTCTCGGGAGAGTCTCGAAAGCTTTCGCAATGTCCGTGCAGAAACCTGCAACAGGTTTAGCAGACTGCGCATTGACCTCAATCAAGGCCTCAAGCTGGAACCAGAGGGAGGTAGCCTCCCGTTGCGGCATAAAGCCAAGGGCCGAGGGCGGCATATGCTGGGCCAGCTGTTGCAATATCTGGCGAGCTCGAATTGAGGACCAAGTGCGATATACAATCGACAGCAGGACAATAGGTCGATATCCATTGACGCCGTCCCCAGAGCGGCCAGGCTTGGCGAGACTGATCACTAGACCACAAAGCCATTGGAGGGGCCATGGCTGATGCTCATGCTCTACGGCGTGAAGGAAGCGGAGCAGCACTTGCACGAAGTGAACCGGCATCCGTTGAAGGTCCTCACGGCCATACCCGTCTGGGCCCCGAGCGGCTCTGACCTTGTAGCGGGAGATGGCAGCATACCAAATTTCTACGGTAATGGGAGGCAAGGCAAAATTGAGAACAGGAAAATGAACTTCGGCAAAAGCCATCAGGCGGCTCCAGTCTGTACGGACTGGATGCGATTCCACCTGGGGCGCCAGAAAGAAACGAATTCATGATGGAGGCCGGCAGTAGACGAGAGCACCTGAGTTTGTTCAAGCTCAAGGTCTGCCACCAATGGCACGTCTCCATTAATTTGCAACACATTGGGTTGAACAACCTGGACCGAGACAGGTTGGCCATCAACATGCCAAGTGCTACAGCCCCGCGCTTCGACATTGGTTTCAAGAAAGACCTGTTGGGTGTCAGGATCAATGGCAATGACGGGGTGGGTGTGCCGCAATACCAGAGTGTCAACTTGGGCGGGGGCGGCTTCTCGCAGGTCCTGGAAAAGAAGGGAGTGCTGCTGTTCGTGTTGTGCCTTCAGGATGGCATGCCTTTGACGAGAATGCCACGATTCAAAGCGGCGATAACTGTCACGAAATTCCTTGAAGAGGCGCGTGGCAAAAGCAGCTGAGGGCAGAGACAAGGGCAGGAGGCTAGGCATGCCTTGGTGTCGCCGGGGACGAGTCTCAAACCAATTCGGGAAGCCGCCTTCAAATCCACTGGACTGCAGGATGGACCGCCATAGAGACAAACGGTACTCCACCGCATCTGGCGTGAGTTTGTTGGCCCTGAGTGCACGCATGAGGCTCTGCAATCGCCTCAACTGGCGGTACCACTGTTTCACCTGAAGGCAAAGCAGCCCGTTCTTGATAGGTTCCTCCCCAGGTCGGTGAGGTTTGGCGGAGATGACACAGTGGGTACCCTGCATGGGTTGGAGGTGACTAGCGCGGCCATAGCATGCATTCGGTTGAACAAAACCGTCGATTCGATTCTCAAAGGCCGATGAGAAGTCTTTCAACCACTGAGTGGATGTGGTGTGTTGCAGATCTGGGCACATTTGCTCACTCCATTGGTCAGAAGTCACGGCCGACCAGTGCATGGTGGCCGGAAGTGGCCAGGATTGCACCTTGTTGACCCCGACGTCAATCTGCAATCCAGCAATTGAGGTGGAGTGTTCTGCAAAGTCACCCTGGACCTGGACCTCCCTTAAGAGGGCGGCCAGTTCTGGTGACAAGTAAATATAATCACGGCGGGTGGCATGCTTGCAAGTATTCTGTGGCTCGATCTGCCACCACCTGTGGGCAAGGTTCTGGATTTCCACCCCCAAGACGCTCCCAAATCGCAATTTGCTCTAGGGTATGAGCGTCGTGATTCAGGTCACCTGAGATCGCTCGGAAACCCTTGCACCCCAGAACTATCTCATGTGTGACTTCGGAGAGTAACAAGTCCGTGCGAGCAAGTGCATGAGGAAAGGTGTACCCCTGGGCAAACCCATAAATGTTTGCTGTGGTGAGGCAGAAATTGCCCAGAAAGTGTTGAATGGCTTGCAGGCGGCCCGTCTGGTAAGCCCCATTTTGCCACGGAAGGAGAAGTTCACGGCATGGCCAGTCTGAACAGGTCAGGACGCCCGTCCAGGAGCCGGCCCAAGAAGAAGTTGACCTGACCGGGGCAGGTGCCCCACGCAGGAAACGCACATTCCGAGTCTGTGCGTGACACAAAGACCGCAGTGTACGGCAAGAAGACGGAATGGTGGAAGCAGCGAGCTGTGTCTCACTGAGTTGCCAGATACCCGGCCCCAAGTCGGCCAGAACATGTTCCTTAGTACGAAAGCCTGAGGGATTCGAACAACCCAATCGAATCAACCCCGAAGAAACTGGACCCGGATTCTCGGCCTCCCCAAAACGGTGCGCAGGGCCTTGGCAGGAGGCATGGGCACATCCCAGGAAGAGCCAAAAGACCAGGCTCAAAAGAAGGTGAAGGGCGCAGCCAAAAGTGGAGAACGGCCTGCCGTTGGCGGTACGACAGCCGGGGCAACCTAGTCACTCAGTCTTAGGGGCCTTATGCACCGGCTCGGCGGCCTTCTGCTGTTGCAGAATGGATTCAAGCATGGCAGTCTGCTGTGCCATTTGTGACCCGATTTTCTCACCGAGCTGGTTGCCAAGATTTGAAACTGCCGAGGTTACGGTAGTCTGGATTGCCTCGGCTGTGCGGGCAACGTCGGACTGAACGGAGGAGAGTTGCGTCTGCTGTGCTTGAAGGGTGGCCGCCACTTGCTTCTGGCTTTCCTCCTGCGCACTGACTTTTTGTCCGATGGTTGAGAACCAGTCTTCAAACTTGCCTGCCTGAGCCTGGAGCTCGGTGACCGCGACCTCGAGCGCCTGAAGGCGAGGATTTTGCGAACTGGCCGACTCCACAACGGCCTGGCCGCATGCTTGCCACTCTTTGCGCACAAGGGCCGTGACACCAGATTGGATTTCCTCCTTGAGCTGATCGAGCTTGGCTGTGGCAGCCGACACGGGTTTGGGGGGGCAGGGGTAGGCCAGGCGGAGGGCGAGAAGCCTGAGATGACATGCTTTGGCTCCACGGGTCGTTGCCAAAACTCCAAGGATCAACGTCGCCACTGCCAGTGGGCTCATCGTCATAAATGATGTGGCGCTTGGTCCGCCTTGTTGCACAAACCTGATGACCTGTGGCTGCAGCCGGCGGGCCCTTCAAAGAAGTGATGAGGGCATAGCTCTGTCCAACAGGCATCGCAGATGAGGGCGGTTCGACCTCCGAGCCGACCTGCCAGGCAAGTCCTTCAGAATCGCCTTTCAAAGGCTGCAACGGCTTTGCAGGCCAACCCCATTTACGAAGCAGGGTGGTCAGGTGGTGGCGCTGGAACCCAAACGGCAATGGGTGCACCCGCCACTTGAAAACGACGCGCACCTTTACGTAGGACTGCCCTGGACGAAACTGCTTGAAAACAGCTTCCTCATCACACTCCTTAACCCGAAGGCCGTACTTCCTGCCCAGGCGCGTGATCGCCAACACTTTCTCGCAAGTCTTCTGCGCGTGCTGCGCCCCCGCTCGATCGGCGGTTGGCATCCAAATCACAGCAAAGGAAGTGTTCGTGGAATGTCCGTCAGTGGAACGCGGTTCCACATATACCCCGCTTGCCGGTGGAGCCTGGAAGTGCTTGATAGCCGACGCAGGAACCCGCATAAGCGTATGGAAAGCTAATGCATTCGCAGCCGGTGCTTGTCCGCCTTCCAGTTTGGTCCATTGCCGTGCCCAAACGTCCAAGACCAATTGGTCAGCTTGTTCGTCCACAGCACAGTGGAATCTCGGGCAGTCACCTTTGCAGGCCCCATCACGACACAAGGTGATCCGCATAAAGGTTTCAAGGAGGATTTCTTGTGATGGGCTACTATGGGGTCTTCTCACTCACAGTGCCCTCAAAGGCCCGCGTGCCCTTTTTGGATGAAATCTGGACTATCTTAAGCAGTCCGCATGGTCTCAGCTGGGATGTAATACGGGGACTGCAAACAGTATGCTGGGCCTTCGTTTCAATGATTTGTAGGGTGGCTGAAATCCCTGAAAATAACAAAGCAGGGCAAGAACCAGGTGCTCTAGTGAGCAAAGGATGCTAGTACTGCAAGTAGTAAGCCGTACTAGCCACGCTATGCTCAGAGGGACAGCCATAAGAACAATCACCGTTCAGGCATCTGAATACTCTGTGCTATCATGCCCCCTCAAGGATGGAACATGGGGGCCACAAGTAGCTGAATGAGGCGGCCCTCCTAGAACATGCTGGCCCACGCTGTTACAAACCTGCATGGAATGAAAGTCCAGGGTTTGGGTGTTCCTTGAAAGGGTATATACCCTTGTCGAGTTGGGGCTCAGAAAAGTACTCAGAGGTTCAGCACCTGGTAGTCTGTACGGCTCCTGGAACTGCTCCTGTAACTGTCCGTGAATCTACAAATGAAGGCTCAGCTTGGACCCTAGATCCCTGGTTTGTTTGGTTCCGAGGCAACTTAGGAATGACAATTGCTTGATCTCCGTCTTGCATAAAGTGGGTTTGGGCAGTAGTTGGTTATAATCATGGTGAGACTACCGAAGGCTGGGTGAGAGGCAGAAGCAACCAACAACAACTTGAACGAATTGCGAAGCTAGCATTCCTAAACCCCAAACCCTAACTTGCAAAACCACTTCCCCTGCAGCTCGGAACTCTCAACCTTTCTCCTGATTGCCTCTTCCTCTGCCCCACGAGGACCAGACTGCCTCTCCTCAAGAAGGGCGCAGTGACCCGCCTGCTATTGTAAGGAGGTTGGGGTATGTAAGGAGTCTTAGGGAATTCGTAAGCTTCGCTTTTTCCTTCCCATTTGCCTTCTCTAAGAATTTGTCAGGTTCCCTCAGCTACTCTGAGCGCAATGACATGTGGGCCTTGGCGGCCTGCCGTGGTATTGCGGCTATATTGGGATAATGGAAAAGAAAATGGAAGCCACTATTTAGGGTTGAGGGGTTTGTGCCTGATTGTGCCTAAGCCCTTTACTCAAAGTGACTGCCTCCTTCAGCTACATGGGAATCCTGTTTTCTCAACCGTGGCTCGAGTGCAGGTCCGTGACTGCGTGGCTGCCTCCGGCCAGAAATACCCCAGTCTGATGGGCTCCCCAATACTGTTAATACTATTCTTACTATAACTCTCATTACTATTACAAGTATTACTAGTATCACTATTACTAGTACTGATCAAAAGCCCAGATGGAGAAACTACATGCCAGGCTCAGAAAACTTGGTCTGATGTTCAGCGGAAGATAGGATATTTCGGATTTTGATGAGTAATAATCATACTAGTAATAAGAGCAATAACAGTACTAGTGTTGATCGCAACTGACCATGACTCTACTCACAACTATCCTGTTCAGTCACACTGTTCGCTGCCCTTATAGAGACAGGAACGAAACTTGAACATCTGTTAGCTGCAGTAGCTCCACACCTCTGATCTCTCGACGAGCATGGTCAATCGAAGAACCTGTTGCAGCCGGAAAAGCGGTTCTCAATGATAAGGTGACACATCGCTGGCATTTCAGCAGCTTTCTGTTTCAGCAACTAAAAGCTACACTCAAGGACTTTCAATGACTTGAGGACGATGAGCACGATGATAACCACACACAAAGAGGAGTGGAGAGGATTGCGATGAGGGGCCGTGGACTACATCAGTTTCTTACATCCCTGAAGCTCAACCAAGAATCCTGAACCCTACCTTCCCTACATGAACATAGAACCTTGAAAGGACCGGACCTGTTCGAAGGACAGATTGCCCGGTACCAGTTTTGGAGCTGCTTCAAATTCTGTGAAAACCATCACCCTATCTGTACATGATGCTTATGAAGGGATTATGTGGAGAATCAGCGATTCAGCATCATCTCCCCCAGAACGTGGGGTATTCAAAATACGCCCTCTTGCCGAGGACTTCCCAAATCAGCCTCCGACCAAAGTTAAGCATGCAAATATCTCTCATCGTCGACAACCATGGCAATTGTAAAGATCACTAGCAAGACATGGTCACCTCAGCGACGGATTCATGTCGTGGGTTTGATGACCATCATTGGAGGTCCGTTGTCGCATTGAAATACGCACGAACACGCACTGAGACACCTGTCTAAAGCTGCTCCTGACCTGTTGAAACACAGAATCTCCGAACACTAAACTGCACAAAACCTCAGGCTTCTAAGCCTCAAAACCCAAACCTGAATCTCTGAAGGCCCTGAAATCCAACCCTTCAAAGCCTCACTCTCCTGGTCTGCGGCTCTCCGGAGGGCCTGTGACAACAAGGCTCCCAAGTTCGTCCAAGGATCGAGGTGGGGCTTCTTACTCAGAATTTAGAATGTAAGGTCAGGTTAAATTTGTAGTCACTTCAAGAAGGACACCTACACTTTCACTTATTCGTTTTCACACGAAACCTGTATAGCCATGATTAAGCCTTAGCTCATACATGCCTCAAGACCTGGGATTGAGGGGTGAGGGTTGAGAGTAATTTACCACAGTATTCCAACATGCGTCTTCTAGCTCTGGGGAGATTTGTCCAGGTAAGTTCTTTTCTATGCAAGATGTCATATCATAGCACGCTAAACTAGCACCCTGCCAGCCTTTACCAAAATGGCGGATTCTGCAAATGTTGGGCTGCCTGTTGATCCTTAGGGGGATACGTGAAAATTTGAAGGCATACACATTCTATGCACTTTCCCTCACATGAATGCTCAACATACTCTAGGCTGTAAAAACATCCCGGCATCTAAACCATGCCTCATCTCTCTCCCTCTGGAGGGCTTCGATGTGATCCTGCGAGGTGAATTGAGGATTCAGGACGAGGAAGTCCAGGATTTAGAGCTTTTAGGGTTTTGGGGTTTAGTGGGTTTTCGCAGCTTGGCTGGCTGGAGATGCAATGCAGGGCTTGGGTTGTCGTTTTCAGGGTTCGGACTTCCGGTTGCCAGTTGGACCTTCTAAGCCACATTGCGCAACTCTCAGAATCGGATGTATTGTGAATTATGATTTCTTCGTATCTTTACATCATCGGCGGAGCCTGGGAACCGAGCCCAGGAAGGGTCCTTGCTCATTTCCCTTTTGAGCGTCTGGGGATGATTGACAGCAGCAGCAGAGCTGCACTCCCTAGCAGGGACTCATCAGGTGCAAGTTCAGAAGTCACTCCCCACCACAAGGCAGTGTTTCTCAACATGAAACACAGCACACCAGTGTCGGGTTCTTGGTAGCCAGAAGTGCTGCTACACTAGGGGGTGTACATGTTGGTGTGGTGACTGCCCCGTAGCTGTTTTGTACCAACACCGGCCCAACTTTCAAAAGAAATCTGCAAGATGCTTATACTCCCTGACTGTGTCTCCCAAGAACCTCCAAATAGGAGCTAACAGACCCCATAGATTCCTGAATCCTCCGCCTGCAAATGTAGTCCCAAAAGGCCCTCTACACTCAGATCCCGCATGGCGTCCTGAGAACGCTCCAGTGCCAGAGCCAACGCTGAATCCCTTGTGGTACTGGGCTCTGGCCTTTTGTCACATTACTTCAATCCTTAGGTTCTAGGTCTATTCATTTTGGGTCAGAGCTTTTGGCAAGTTACGTGTTGGCTTTCGGAGCCTTGGGAAGTTTGAGTTGACAGTGAGAGTCTATCCTTGACTTTGCAGATGTACGCACTAGCAGACTTGCCAGTGCTGGCACAGCCATGCATCTTTCTTTTCATACCGCATGACTCGGCTAGAACACCCACTTCACTTGCACTGTACAAAGGAAGGTTATTAAAGCTATAGCAGAGCAAGCTAGGCCGACAGTTTGAGAGTGTGTTTTCGAACGACAAACCAAACACCGCTGCTGCTGAACCAAACCCCCGAGCCCTGAACCCTGGCCAACAAACCCTTGACCCATCAATGTCCACCCCCAAACTCGATCCTAATCCACAACTCGTTTTTTCTTAAGCACCCTTGAAATCTTGCAATGCAATTCTCGCGACCTTCAGACAGTGGGGCAGACCGTCTAACACACATTCAGCGCAATAAGACATGACTGCAGCCGCTAGGGCACACAGTGTTTCTCAAAAAGAAGATGAAGACCAAAGTTCCGAAGGTTTCCTCGACATTTAACGCCTTCCACGTTGCGGCGCGTCACTACTGCCTTATTGTTGTGATGTTCTCGAAGACGGACGTTCTCAAGGTTAAGACTGACATGGATGCATCAGTGTTTTTGCATGAATGCCATGCAGAAGGGATGTTCTCCAAAGCGGAGGTTACGGTCGTGTGGCACGGAGCCAAAGAGCAAGCTTGCACTTGCTAATGCAAAACTATCCTCAACTTGCTGCCCCTGCCAGAACACAGCGTCCATCAGTGCATCTGCCCCCTCCCAAAGCATTTGCGGTTTGCCTGCCCCTCAAGTTTGCACATGCGCACTTGTCTGAAGGTGTTTGCCACTTTTTGCTGTGTGTGTTCTAGGCCACGCAGATTTTAACCTCAGCCGCCGGCCGCAACAGTCTCGGGGAGACTTCCTCGGCAGTAACCAGCTCCTGTGCAAGTCGGGTTCTGGGGTAAGGAAAGGAATGCCTA